TTTCTCAACATATATGAAACCCTACCCAAAATGGGTTAAAAATTTAACCATAAGTCCTGAAAATGTAAAACTTCCAAAAGAAATCACAGGGGAATAACTATATGACATTGGTCTGGGCAATGATTTTTTAGATTTCACCCAAAAAGCACAGGTAACAAAAGCAAAAAAATAGACAAAAGGGATTACACCAAAATTAAAAGCTTTTGTACAACCAATGAAATCATTTTCAGAGTGGAGAGACAACCTATAGATTGGGAGATAGTCACAAATCATACATCTTATTAGGGATACATACAAATCTAGACTATGTAAGGAAACTCAAACAACTCTATAAAAAGAAAACATATCCAATTTAAAATGAGTAAGGGAATGAATAGACATTTATCAAAAGAAGATATACAAATGCCCGATAGACATATGAAAAAATGCTCAATGCTAGTTAGGGAAACACAAATGTCTTAGTCTGTTTCGTGTTGCTGTCACTCAATACCTGAGACTGGGTAATTTATAATGAATAGAGATTTATTTAGCTCACAGCTAATCACGCTAAAAAGTACAACACTGGGTGGCTAAATCTGGCAGCTTCTAGTGAGGGCCTCCTGCTCTTCAGAGCCCGGTGGAAAAGTGTAAGAGGAAGCAGGAATGTGCAAAAAAGACTAAACAGGACAAACAGGTTTATAACAACTCATTCTCATGTGTATATGTGGTATTTGGTACATGCATAGAATGTGTAATGATGAAGTCATATTATTTGGGGTATCCATCACCTCGAGTATTTATCATTTCCATGTGTTGGGAACATTTCGATTCCTCTCTCCTAGCTATTTTGAAATATACAATGTACTACAGTCACCTTACTCTGCTACTAAATATTAGAATGTATTCTATCTAACTGTATCATAGCCATTAACCAAATTCTCTCCATCACCCTCCACCATATACATGCTTCCCAGCCTCTACTGTTTATAATTCTACTCTCTGCCTCCATTAAATAAATTTATTTAAGTTCCCACATGAGAGAGAACATGCAATATTTATCTTTCTGTTTGGCTTATTTCATGTAATGATCTCTAGTTCCATCCATGTTCCTGCACGTGACGGATTTCATTCTTTTTTATGGTTGAATGGTATTCTATTATGTATATTTTTACTTTTATTTTTCATTTTTTTGTTTTTATTTTTTCCTTTTCTTTTTTTAAAATCTATTTGATTTTAGTTTTCTGAGAAATCTCCATGCTGCTTTCCATAACAGTTGTATCAATTTACATTCCCAATAACAGCTTATTAGGGTTCCTGTTTTCCGTATCCTCACCAACATCTTCTATTCTGTCTTTCTAATGGCCATTCTGAGGTAAGATAATATCTCAATGTAGTTTTGATTTGCTTATCCCTGATCATTAGTAATGCTGAGCACTCTTCACATACCTGTTTGTCATTTGTATGTCTTCTTTTGAGAAATGTCTTTGTATGTCACTTGCTTACTTTTTAATAGGATTTTTTTTTTTTTTTACTGTTGAGTTGTTTGGGTTCCTCATATATTCTGGGTATCAGTCCCTTCCTGGATGAATAGTCTACAAACATTTTCTCCCATTCTGGAAGTTGCCTCTTTACTCTGTTAATTGGATGGGTCCTTAGCTGCGCAGAAGCCATTCGGCTTACCATCGTCCCATTTGTGCATTTTTTGTTGTTGCCTGTGCTTTTGAGGTCTTAGTCGTAAAATCTTTGCCTAGAACAATGCTCAGAAGCATGTCCCCTATGCTTTCTTCCAGTAGTTTTATATTTTCAGGTCTTATATTTAAAGTATTTAATCCATCTTGAGTTTAGTTTTATATGTGGTGAGCGACAGGGGTCTAGTTTCGCTCTTCTGCATATTTTCACAGCATCACTATTGAAGAGGGTGTCCTTTCCCCAGTGTATGTTCTTGGTACCTTTTGTTGAAAATCAGCTGGCTGTAAATACATGGATTTATTTATAGGTTCTCTGTTCTGTTCCATTGGTCTATGTGTCTGTGTTTATACCATGCTGTTTTGGCATAATGTATTTTTAAGTCAGGTAGTGTAATGCCTCCGGTTTTACTCTTTTCACTCATGACTGCTTTGGCTATTTGGGCTCTTTTTTGGTTTCATATGATCTTAGGGTTAAGGTTAACAAATTCATCTTAAGAGAAAAACGAACTAAAAAGTTTGGTTTAAGGAGTTCAGTACTTGTTAAACTCAATGGGGAGGCTAAGAAAACAGTGATAACTGCTTTGGCAGCAATGGTAATGACAACAGTGGACTCAGGAACACATGCTAGCATCCTCAGTGTAAAAGATTTCCGTAACATCAACAGTAGCAATATCCTTCAATTGTACTTTTGATATCAGCAGCAATAAAAAAGAAACAAAAATAATGACTTGTAATAATCACCTACTAAGTTCCTGGCATTATACTAGAGACTTTACATGGGTCATCTCCTTAAATCTGCACACTAACCAAATAAGGCAGGTATTATTATCCCTGTTTTAAAGACAGGGTAAGAAACTTGCCAAAGGTAAGTTAGTGTATTAGCGGTACAGCTAATATCTTAATCCCAATGTCTGGCTCCAAAGTTTATGCTTATTCCAAATGCAAGAATCAAATAAATCTGCCACTAAGAGAACGAATTTTCCCATCAAAACCACCTGGGAATTTCATATCTATTAAGAAAGGATTTAAAGGAGTGCTAGTATTCCCACCGAACAGTTCTGTGAAATGACCAGAAATATTATACCTATTATTATTATTAAACCTTAGCCCCAGATTGGCATAAAGGCCGAAGTATACAGATTACAATTTGATTGTTTCATAGAATCTTCAAAAGTGCGATTTTTGTAATAGCATAAATGTGCACTGATGTCATCTCAATTCCATGGCAATGATACATTATAAGTTTTTTTCTTTTTTTCATCTTTTTTGCTCATTATTTGACTTATAGCTCAATCAACGTAAGTTTTCCTTCCACAGAAAACAACTTTAATGTTTTCATTTCTTTTATTTATATAATATTTTATGAGCACAAAGAATTCTCACAAGTAAGATTAAAAGAAAAAGAACAGTTTTGTGAGGTAGATAGGCATTCAAAATTACTTCTCTTTTTACAACTCAGAAAACGGAAGCTCACATTAAATAACATAAGCATTAACCCAAGTGCAAAAAGTGTAGTATATATTGAGCTAAGTACTAGGTATAAATGCAAACAAAACACGATACCTCTTCTCCTCAAGGAGCTCATGGTAGAGCAAAGGAGGAGGAAACAAACAGCTATATTACAATGTGAACAGATACTTTTGTTGTTGTTGTTGTTTTGGGGCTTTTGTTTTTGTTTTGTTTTTTGAGAGGTGGCTCACCGCAACCTCTGCCTCCCAGGTTCAAGCAATTCTCCTGCCTCAGCCTCCCGAGTAGCTGCGATTACAGGCGCCCACCAGTATGCTCTGTTAATTTTTGTATTTTTAGTAAAGAGGGGGGAGGGGGTTTCACCATGTTGGCCAGGCTGGACTCCTGACCTCAGGTGATCCTCACACCTAGGTCTCCCAAAGTGCTGGGATTACAAGCGTGAGCCACCATGCCCATCTGTTATTCTTTTTGAGACAGGGTCTTTACCTGTCACCTAGGATAGAGTGCAGCGGCAATCGTAGCACACTGTAATCTTGAACTCCTGCCCTCAAGCAATCCTCCCACCTCAGCCTCCCAAGTAGCTGAGTCTACAAGCATGCGCCATCACACCTGGCTCATTTTTTTCATTTTTAACAGAAATAAGATCTCACTATGCTGTCTAGGCTAGTCTTGAACTCCTGGCCTCAAATGATCCTACTGCCTTGGTCTTCCAAAGGGGTATGATTATAGGCATAAGCCACTTGATAGATACATTACTAATTTCCCCAACTATACATTAAATTTAGTAACTGGATAATGCCACTGTAATTCTCATTTTGGGGGACACACTTAGAAAGAGATCAAATAAAGTATAAAGTTAAAATGGTAGTTACTAATTCACTAAGTAGAACCTAAGTGAAAATATAAAATATTTTCCAAAAGAAGAAAAAAATCAAGAGTTCAGAGAAAATAGAACTCTTATTTAAAATAAGAGTTAATAAACTCATTATTTAAAATAATGAAATTGTTGTCGATCTTTAAAAAGGCAACTAAAAATACTATTGTAAATAGGCTTACAATAGAAGTACAAACCAGAATTTAGCTTTGGACAGTTGGGGGGTGGTGGGCACGGAATTAAGATAATCAATTCTTCATTTACATAAAAACTATCCTCAGGCTGAACAGAGAGAATAAAAAGAGAAATTTGAGAAGCTCGTGGAAAACAGAAGTTTATAAATCTAATAGAATCTACTAACTGACCATCCCTAGATTTGTGCCACAGATTTTTTTTCTTATTTCCAGTCTACACACCATTCTCTCCTAGAGCTTAAAACAAAGGCAACTGCAGATCTGCAGTTCTCTTATTGGCACAACAAGCTACACTTGTTCATGGAATTCAGCTTTTCTATTTGTTAATGGAAAAAAACTTTTTTTAAGGAATGTGTTCAGCATTCATTCAAAAAATATTTACTGAGTAAAAGTACCAGTTACAATTCTAGAGTCTGAATATAAAAATAACAGACAAGACTGAATGGGTGGATGGACAGAGGGACAAATAGAACACAAAAAGAGAGAGGAACAGATTAATGTCAGAGGAATGGATTTCAATTATACCAGACAAACTGGGACACTGAAATAGGTTACCACATTTTCATTAAGTGTCTGTATCCATTTTTCCAAAATACAAGTATGGCAACCAGTGCTTTTAAAACAGATTATTGCCCATGGACTGTTGGTTCCAACAGCTATTCCAGCCAGCAAGGGAGAAAAATACTACCAGCTCTCAGAGCACATTTACCTCACATTTAGCAATAATGTATCTGTGAAAAGGAACAGGAAGGATACATAAAAATAAATATAATTGAATAAAGTTATCACTAAACATACCTTTCAGAGAAATAACAGCTCTTGTGAGGATTTAGATTTTGATAAGATTCTAGGCTGCCAGCAGATGATGAAGAAAGTTGCTCTGACTGCAAGTTGTCTGTATCACTCAAACTTCCCTCAGTTACAGGTGGGGTCCTTATGTATTTTCTTCCTAAGTCCGTTCCCAGGACATTCGTCAATATAACTCGGGGTATCCTGTCACACAGAATAACAAACACTGTACTGTACTGAAGTTTTCAGATTTAAAAAATGTATTCCAGGAAGTCGAATTTTCAGTCATTATCATCTTAACACGAGAACGCTTTTCAAACTATACCACCCTAGAAATCAATCCATAAGTATTTAAAATTATAGGAAAACACAATCTTTTTGTTTTTAGAAGTATTTGTTTCTTATCACTTACAGCACAGATTAGCCTGTCACTACAATGTCTTTAATTACACTAATGGATGCCACTAAGGGGCTTAAACTTTTAACAAATTCTTCTCAAAAAATTCTTTCTTTTCTTTTCCAGTAATTATTAAAAACACAGATTACTACAAATCAATTCAAGAAATCTTTGTTCTTCTCATTTAGCAGAAAGGTTCTTGGTAATTAATTTACATACTTGCTATTGGGAAATGACAAATGATAAATCCAACAAGACATCATGCAGACTGCATCTCTGGTAATGAGATTCCATAACTGAAACAGGACATTTAATGGTAATAACATATATGCTAATACATAATAGCATCAGGAAAATAGTCAATATATTAAATGTTTAGAAAATTAAAGTTTTTGTTTTGTTGGTTTTTCTTTTTTGAGGCAGGGTCTCACTCTGTCACCTAGACTGGAGTCCAGTGACACAATCACGGCTCACTGCAGCCTCAACCTCCCGGGCTCAAGTAATCCTCCTACCTTAGCCTCTTAAGTAGCTGGGACTATAGGCACAAGCCAGCATGCTCAGCTAATTTTTTTTTTATTTTCTGTAGTGACTATGTCTCATGATGTTGCCCAGGCTAGTCTTAAACTCCTGGGCTCAAGCAATCCTCCCAACCTTAGCCTCCCAAAATTCTGAGATTATAGGTGTGAGCCACTGCATCTAGCCTGGAGTGTATTTTCAAGGCTCCAGACCTTAAATTGGTGAGTTTTATATTAAATGTACTATATAAGCCTGACATCTTCTTAACAGAAGATGTACATTTGATATAAAGAAGTACATTTGGTATAAAATTAGTGCAATTTTTAAGTTTCTGGCCAGCCATTATTATGAACATTACTTTGCCAATAATGCCCTCAAATATTAATATTCAGCCCAGAATTCACAGGCCCAAGACAAATTATTGTGATTTTTTAAAGTTCTTGTTATGTAATTTTAAAGTGTCCTCTTTATTAGATGCCCCTTTTGACTGCTATCAATATACCACAAGGAGTACTTTACTTATACTGTGTGTAAGAAACAATACACAGAAAGGGCCAGAGTACAAGCATACCTCATTTTATTGTGTTGCACTTTACTGCACTTCACAGATACTGCGTCTTTTACAAATGGAAGGTCTGTGGCAACCGTGAGTAGAACATGTCTATCAACATGATTTTCCAACAGCACCTGCTCACTTTGTGTCTCTGTGTCACATTTTGGTAATTCTCAAAACATTTCAATCTTTTCATTATTATTTTATCTATTATGACAATCTGTAGTCAGTGATCTTTGATGGCACAACCATATTTGCTTTGAAGCACCACAAACCATGCACACATAAGACATTGAACTTAATTAACAAAAGTCGTGTGTGTTCTGACTGTTTCACCTACCAACCATTCCCCTATCTCTCTTCCTCTCCTCAGGCCTCCCTATCCCCTGAGACACAGGAATATTAAAATTATGCTAATAAATCATACTACCACGGCCTCTAAGTATTCAAGTGAAAGGAAGAGTCACAAGTCTCTCACTTAAATCAAAAGCTAGAAATATCTGGGTTTGGTGGCTCATACGTGTAATTCCAGCACTTTGGGAAGTCAAGGTGAGATGATCACTGGAGGCCAGGAGATTGAGGCCAGCCTGGGCAACATAGCAAGACTCCGTCTCTACGAAAAATAAAATAATTAACCAGCCATCCAGCCATGGCAGGACATGTCTATAGTCCTAGCTTCCTGGGAAGCTAAAGTGGGAGGACCACTTGACCCCAGGAGTTCAAGGCTGCAGAGAGCTACGATTGCACCAACTCTATTTCCCTGGGAAACGGAGCAAGTCCTTGTCTCTCTAAAAAAAAAAAAAAGAGCTAGAAATTACTAAGCTTAGTATGAAAAGCATGTTGAAAGCTGAGAAAGGTTGAAAGCAAGACTGCTTGCTGCAAAGTCAAGTTGTGAAAGCAAAAGAATATTCTTGAACAAATTTAAAAGTGCTACTCCTGGCCAAATGGTGGCTCACACTTGTAATTCCAGAACTTTGGGAAGCTGAAGTAGGGATCACTTAAGGTCAGGAGTTCAAGACCAGCCTGGCCAACATGGTGAAACCCCATCTCTACTAAAAATACAAAAATTAGCCAGGCATGGTAGCAATTATCTGTAGTCCCAGCTACTCAGGAGGCTGAGGCAGAAGAATCACTTGAATCCAAGAGGCTAAGGTTGCAGTGAGCCAAGATCCTGTCACTGCACACCAGCTGGGGTAACAGAATGACATTCCATCTCAAAAGAAAAAAATGTGCTACTCCTATGAACACACAAATAATAAGAAAGCAAAACAGTCTTACTGATGATATGGAGAAAGTTATAGTAGTCTGGATACAGGATGAAACCAGCCACAACATTCCCTTAAGCCAAAGCCTAACTATAGCAAGATACTCTCTTCAGTTCTATGAAGAATGAGACAGGGTAGGAAGCTGCAGAAGAAAAGTAGGTTTGTAAACTTCAAGAAAAGAAGTTTTCTCAGCCTGGGCAACATATTGAGACTCTCTCTATATAAAAAATGCTGTGGCATGCACCTGTAGCCTCAGCTACTCGGGAGACAGAAGTGAAAGGATTGCTTTAGCCTGGAAGGTCAAGGCTGCAGTGAGCCATGATGGCTCCAGCTGTGAGGTCAAAGCTGCAATGAGTCATGCTGGGCCACAGAATGAGACCCTACCTCAAAAAAAGAAGGCTATCTCCGTTATTTGCGTAACATGAAAGTGCAAGGTGAAGCAGCCAAGTACTGATGAAGAAGCTGCAGCAAGTTATCCAGAAGATCTAGCTAAGATAACTGATGAAGGCGGCTACACTAAACAACAGGTTTTCAGTGTAGCTGAAAGAGTCTTATATTGGAAAAAGATGGCATCTACGAATTTCATACCTACAAAGGAAAAGTCAGTGCATAAGTTCAAAAGATGGCTGACTCTTGTTAAGGGCTAATGAAGCTGGTGACTTATCTGTGAAGCCAGTGCTCACTTACCATGCAAAAAAATCCAAAGGCCCTTAAGAATTATGCTTAATCAGGCCAGGCATGGTGGCTCACACCTGTAATCCCAGCACTTTGGGAGGCAGAAGCTGGCGGATTACTTGAGGTCAGGAGTTCAGGACCAGCCTGGACAACACAGTGAAACCCCTATCTCTACTAAAAAAAAAAAAAAAAAATAGCCAGGCATGGTGATGCATGCCTGTATTCCCAGCTACTTCAGAATCTGAGGCAGGAGAATCACTTGAACCCAGGAGGTGGAGGCTGCAATAAGATCATGCCACTGCACTGCAGCCTGGGCAACAGAGCAGGACTCTGTCTCAAAAAAATAAAAAATTATGCTAAATTTACTCTGCCTATGCTCTAAAAATGGAACAACAAAGCCTGGATGACTAAATGGCAGCACATCTGTTTACAGCATGTATCACTGAATCACTTAACCCCACCTTTGAGAACTGCTACTAAGAAAAAAAAGAATTGCTTTCAAAATATTAAAGCTCATTGACAATGCACCTAGTCACCCAAGAGCTCTGATGAAGAAGTATAAGAGAATTAACGTTGTTTTCATGCCTGCTAACAAAACATCCATTCTACAGCCCATGGATCAAGGTAATTTCAAGTTTCAAGTCTTAACGATTTAAGAAATACATTTCATATAGCTACCACAAACAGTGATTTCCTCTGATGGGTCTGGGCAAAGTAAACTGAAAATCTTCTGGAAAGGATTCATCATTCTAGATGCCTCTGCATAAAACAACAAAGGTAACAAAGTACAGTGAAGTTCACATTTTCACTTAAACAAAAGTATAGGCAATATACTTGGAGACTGGGCCGGCTTAGTTCCAGACCTCCGCCGTAAAGTGAGTATCACAGTAAAACAAGTCACATGTTTTTTTGGCTTTCCAGTGAATATGTTTACACCATACTGTAGTCTATTAAGTGTGCAATGGCATTATGACTAAAAAAATACACATTCCCTAACTAAAAATTTTAAAACTCTATTTTTGCTACATAAAGACACTATGTTCTTTTTACTATGTTCCAGACAGCATAAAATTTTAGATCCTTGGAAAACGTTAAAATAAATTAGTCCTCTCTTTATTGTAAACATGAAAAATCCAAAGTACAGAAAAGTTAAATAAGTGGCCCATAAGTAACTTTCCTAGTGGAAGAACCTGTTATTATTATCTTTTTGGGTTATCTGTTCTATTCCATTATACTATATCCTCAATAATACTGAATGCCTATAGATACTTCAGAAAACTTTTAAAAAATCCATTTATGCCATAATCAGAATAAAAAGTGCTGCAACGACATGATTCTATATCTAGAAAACCCAGTAGTCACAGCACAAAAACTCCTTCAGCTGATAAACAACTTGAGAAAAGTTTCGAGATACAAAATCAGTAAACAAAAATCACTAGCATTCCTATATACCAACAGCAACCAAGCAGAAAGCCAAATCACAAAGGTAATCTCATTCACAGCAGCCACAAAAAGAATAATATACCTGTGAACGAATATAGCTAACCAGGCAGTTGAAAGAGCTCTATAAGGAAAACTATAAAACATCGCTTTAAAAAATCAAAGAAGACACAAACAAATGAAATAACATCCCAGGCTCATGGATAGAAAGTATGAATATTAAAATGGCCATACTTCCCAAAGCAATTTACATATTCAATGCTATTTCTAACATACTGCCAACGACATTCTTCACAGAATTAGAAAAAACTACTTTAAAATTCATATGAAACCAAAAAGAACCCTGTATCACCAAGGT